TTTTTAAATGCAAATAATAAATCTAGATTCTGGAGGTGTTGAATAATAATATTCTTAATTAAATGACATCAGAATATTGAATTAATTTGTTTGTATAAATATATTATAAAACGAGAACATAATAAATATTAACTGTGACGTAAAATATTTTAATTTTTTATTTAAATATTTTATATTTTATTGATAAATTATATAATTCAAATTTATTGATAGGTGCTGTAATAAAAAATAACAAGTAAATCTTATATTTTATGCAAAAATAAACCCGAGTATATGTATACATTCTTTTATACCCTCTTGTAAAATAGTAATTTTGGATTCTCGATCCAGTATTCGGAAATAAAAATTAAATGATTGGTAAAATGTTAATAAATCGAAAAGAATTTAGAAAAATCAAATATAAACTGGACATGAGGGCAAACAATCCTGTTGTTCAAACACGTAAATGCATAACATATTTTGTATAATAAAATTTAACCGATAAATTATAAGTAGAACAGCTTCAAAAAAAAATTTATAATTGATCAGAGATATTTACGAAGAAAAATTATTATGTAAGTATTATTGGGTGGTACCAAAACTACATAAATTGATTTCATTATAAACCGAAAATCTCGGTAACAGCTTCATGCTTTCATTAGTGTACCTCAATCATTTACCGAATTATAAACAACATTTTTAAAATTTCGGACGAAATCCTAAAATTCACGAAAAATTTATATGTTCATTTGTTTAATAACCAGCTTTAAAATATTAAACTTCAAGAAAATTTTATGACTATTTCTTTGTAAATTAGCAAAAACATAAAATCCGGCTGTAGTAAAGATCTAGAGACCTGATATACAAATTCAAAAAGTTTATTGATTTTCACGAAAATTTTTATTCTCAAAATGAACTCAAATAAATATTTTCTTCAAAACAGGTTCAGCCCAATTTGAGACACAGAAGTGTAGACACAGAGTGACAGACCGACAGACATCTTTTTAAAAAACAGTTTTTTTGTGATTGTACAGCATGCAAAAACGCGTTTCCGCCGGAAACTAGAAATTTAATGCGTACGTATATAAATAATATGTATTTCGATTTCTGAAATCAAATCTTATGAAAGCAATGATGAAATTTTTCCAGAAAATTAAAGAATTTTACAATAAAAATGGCTGCCAAAGAAAGTTTATAAACGATTAATGAGAAATCTTTAACAAAAATGTTTTAGAACAGCTTCAAGAAACTAAAATATACGAGTACATTACTCACCTTTTGTACTTGAAACAAAATATTTTGAAAATATTATTGTTATTATTATATTTTTAAAATAAATACATAATATGTGTAATGTATGTCAAAAGCTTTTCCGACATATTCATTATTTAATGGAAAATATCAAAACACAGCTTCATATAGATGTTCGTACGTATGTGATAACAAGTTTTAAAACTTGTTAAGTAAATATTGATTACTAATATACATAAACCGGTTTTATAATTATATTCTTATCGCTTCTACTTACAAAATGCTGGTAATTGAAAAAAAAAACTTATGTTTTAATTGCTTATATTTTATTTGTTAGTATAGATTAACCCTAAAGTGCACATTACTTTTTTTATTTATTATATAAATAAACTTAGATACATTGCAAATTATATGAAATTCTCAACAACAAGAGTGCGTAAAATGAGTACCGTGATTTTTTCAAATAAATACATTAATTTATGCTCTAAAAGTTCTAAAAATTCTAAGCGAAAAGAGATTGTGTCGGGTTGTGTCTATACAAATTAAAAGTTATATCAGAACCATTCGATTTGACAAACCTTATAAAGCTTTTTGTATTCAAAAATTATAAAATTTGGTTAGTCGTCGCTTTTGAAAATACTTTATCAAATTTGAAATACATATTTATTCGACATATAGTTTAGCGGGCACCAAAAATAACTAAATTAAAGAAATTGAGTGTGATGGTGCCTGGAGTCAATATGATGAAAATGATAAAAAAGTCTCTTCATAAATTTGTTTTGTTATTTACAAATATGCAAAAATTAACACAATTCCTTAAAAAAAGGAAGGTGTAATGGCAACCCATTTAAATTGAAGATGTTAAACTTTGTATTAAAGAAGCTTTTTTAAATACTATGATTTTATAACAAAACTATTCTAATTTTAATAAATTATTCAACTTGAATCTGTAACGTTATTTTAAATACATAGGATCCAATACTACTTATATCAGAATCAATTGCAATTTATTTTAAAATATCTTATTTAAAAATTAGATATTATAAAAAATTTAAAAATATAGCATAGGTTATTTTTTTTATTGCTATTATTAGCTATCGTAATTATCGATTTTCAATAATAATTATTAAACTTCCGATTCCTCAATCAATTATAATTAATTATCGGTTGTCGATAATTTTCATCGAGTTAAATGCTTAAGTATCTTCCTTATAAACAAAGGCTCGAATTAGTTAATGCATCAATTACAATTTTTAAAATTTTGAATAATTTCATATTTAATATCATGGAAATTGTTAGTAACTAACACAACCGGATCTGTAATTCTTAATTAAATATTAAGAAGCCAATCATTTATCTTATATATGAAAAATATTATATTTCTAATTTGAATTTGGGCTGTAATTCATTTTAGGGATTTACATAATATAGTTGGTAATATAGTCTCCTTTCAGAAAAATTTTTATTACCATAAAGCCTTTTAATCATTTTTCCTTTAGTAATCTTTAATAACGAATGCTATTAAAATTCGAATGCATTTTCTAAATTTACTTTCATTTGCATATCAAAGACAAACTTGTAAAACGTTCTTTTACGCCAAAAAGCCCATTTTCAATTACATTGAAATTAACATCTTCTTGTAATAAAAAATCGTCTTAAATATCTTGAATTCCTTTTCTTTTCCGAAACAAATTTATTGGAAATTTTAATAAATCTATCAAAAATAATGTATTGTACTTAAACAGCTTCTAATATAACATTACTCTTTGTGCACATTCTTATTTTATTTAAAAATACAGAGTGTGTAAGTATATTATGATGTAATGTAGAAAAGAATTTCATATCTCTGTAACTGGAAAACTAAAGTCTATGTGGAAAGAAATCCAAATTTTATTTTATAATTTTTTATTTTAACTCGAATATCATTCACAGATGGGACTGAGCACCAAATGAATCTGAAATGAAAATAATGAAAATGGAAATAATAGATCTGTGAATGAACTGTTAAGCAAATTCAGAAAAATAATAATTTTAATATTGTCGACTTCGACTGGAACTAGATGAGTTTGTTATATTAGATAGGTCTCCTATATGATTCCAGATTCATTTTCAACATCAAATTCATAACTACTTTTTTCATATAGCAAAGCTAATAAATGAACACATCATTATTTTAGTTCTTGATGGTGTTTCAAGATCTTTTACTTGACTCTACTAAATTAAATTAATTTTCATATTTCATTACATGGATTTATAATTGAATTCAATTCGGCACACTCTATATGTATAATATAAACTAATAATATATAATAAAATAAAATTGCATAACATAATTTAAAAAACTTTCGTAATAATTTATATAAAATTATCATTATAATGTTGGTGAAATGAGATTAAAAGCGTTTACATAATCGTTAAAATTAATTATTTAAAGAGGAAAATTTAATAATGCAATTCAAGATTTGAAAGAATAATTAACAGCACATTTCAAGAAAATAAATTTGAATTTGAGCTATAAAAATACAATAAGAGTTAACTTTAGTTTTTCTCAAAGTGGTGACAATAATCGAATAAAATATAAAAATTTTTTTACGATAATTTGATTTTAACAAAATCTGGTGAGACTTGAACTTGGGTCATTCTTATGAAAAGAAGTTTTTTGTCGAACAACAAATCACTGAACGTTCGGAAGTTGCTGTATAATTCACTAAGGGATATGTGCAGTTTTATAATTGGAACAAGGATATTATAGGCGGGAGCGTGGTGAGGCTACAATAAATAGCTACGGTGGTCCGGGGGAAATGTCCTCTTGTTTCACTTGGTTTTCTTGGAATCTGCCAATCTGCCAAACCCTATGAATCACATTTTCATTAAAAATATTAATGGAATCAAATGATTTTTAATGTAAAATTTCAAATTAATATAAGAAAAACACCAGCGTTATATTATACAAATTCGCAAAATTGAATTAATCTTTAGCAGTTGCATGTAAATAAAAAAATTTAAATAAAAAAACTAACGGATATTGTAGTTTCTTTAATTTTAATTTATTTATTACATTATACCTTCAACTCTCATCAAGGAGTGCGTGAGGCCTATCCTGAACCTGAAAAACTTCAACACCTAAGTTTTTTTTAGCTCTTCTCACTAAAACCTATCAAATGTCTTATAAAAGTCTGTAGGTAATTTAGAAGTAACTGAATTCTTTAGGAAATAATAATAGGGGGAAAGAAGGGAAACCAACACTCAATAAGCTATTAGACTGATGCAAAAAGTTCGAGTTTTGTTAGGAAAGTTTCAAATGGGTTCAATTAACAACAATTTTCAATTTATTCGTTTCAATTTATTACACTGTTATTACAACTACTTTTGGATTAACAAATTTTTAAAATTTTGGGATAAAACGGGGTTTGTTATTTAGCTAATTTAGCATATTTGATCAACAAGCTATCTCTACATTATGGACAGTATGAATGCATAGAATGAAATTTCAATCTTATATTGAAACAAGTATAAATCTAAGCTTTTTAAGTTGAATGAATGATCGGGACGGAAATATCAAAATTTATTAGAACATTTTCTATAATTCAGAAGAATTAGTTTTTTAATAACATTTTAAATATTCATGAAAATAATATAAATAAAATAATATAATAAGAATAAATAAAAATATATTGTGACTGTCACGTACGTCAATGTGGAAAATTCGAAATTCCTATATAAGTTGGTGGCTTTCAAAATAGTTTTTTATTCTTTTATAGTATTTAGTAACGAGTCAATAGCAGATTATTTTTTTTTTAATTAATTTTTAATATTTTTACATTCTTGAATTTATTAAAAAATTTGAATAGTTTTGTTGTTTTTTTTTATTTAGTGCTATTGAAATCGTTTTCTTTTTTAAAATGTTTAATAAAATTTATTATTTAATTGGATGTCTAACAATTCTAATTTGTTTGCTACCTAAAGATGAAGCAAAACAATTACGTAAGTTTCAAATTTTAAAAAGAATTTTTTAAAAATATAAAGAAATGTAAATAAAATGAAATATTTGGAATCGAAGTGTAATTAAAATGAAATTAATAATTATAAAAAACTCAATTGAATGGTTTTAGAAATTCAAGATCCAAATTAAAAATTTATATTTGAAAATGAAGTTGATGTGAATGAATGACCAATGAATTTAAAATTAAAAATGAATTTAATAAAAAAAAAAATTTAAAATTTGAAAATATTATTAATGGCGTTATTTTGTTTAAAAAAAAGGATTCAAAAGGATATTTTATACTCGTATATTTAAATAAATTTTAATTTTCAAAACCATAATTTTGTGGTAATAATTGAAATCAATTTAAGCCGGCTTACAATAAAATATAAGTCGACTTAAATTTAAAATCCAAGTAAATTTAATTGAAAATTCAAAATATCTAAGTCAAATCTTTAAATTGAGAAAAGTATCAGCCACAAAATTTGGTCAAAATTTGGACATACTATGTCTAGCATGTTTAGCATGTATTAGCTGTTTATTCTTTTACAGCCTGACTTGAGTTTAGTCCGAAACTAAGCAAAAAATGAAATAGTTAAATAAAAACTTGTACTAAATTTTACAAAGTTAGTTGCAAATCTTTTCACTTAACTTAGCTTACCAGTTTTTTCGATGAATCAAGAATTCTTGGAACTATTATGTAAAAATTTGTTTCAAAATAAGGTAATTACTGCCTTTCAACCGACTGGTATCTTAATGTTTACGAAATTAAACGTGAACAAATCAATACTCGTAGGTATGTTCTTTTTATTTTAGTGGATTTAGCAATAAATAATACAGCCATACATTCTATTATGAAACCAGAACCAGAGAAAGGAAAAATTTTCATTAAAATTAAAAAATACTGAATCCACGTATTAAGATCCCAGTATTAATTTCACTTTATAAGCTCAAATTAGACAATTATTAATTATCTATTAATGAATTATTCATAATTAAAAGTCAGCAATTTATTTATATTGTACTATAATTTTTATTTTGCTTAAAACCACACTTGAAAATAATAACAGTAGTTAAATTTTTAATTTACTTGATTATACAATTAAACGTTTCAAAAAAATATTAAATTAATAAAAATTAATTAAATTAATTTTACAGCTGATTCATTAAAAAAATGTGATAGACAAAATCCTGAATGTATGAGAAATACTACCGAAACCGTTCTTAGAATATGGGATGAATTACCTTCAGAATTTAATTTACCATCAATTAATCCACTTAAAATTGATAAACTTCAATTGAAAAAAGAAGGAAATGCTGATTTCCAATTTAATGCTAAATATCATGATATCTTGCTATATGGCTCAAATAATATTCGTATATTAGAATTCACGTAAGTATATTAAATAAATTCAAAAATAATTACTGTACATAACATTTTTTTTTGCAAATCTATTATTTCTAGTGGTGATATAGAAAATGGTATTCATGCAAAAGGTTTCATACCAGTTTACAATGTTACATGTGATTATATTCTTTCTGGCAAATTATTACTATTTCAATTTAAAGGCAGAGGTACCGGTGGTTTAATATTAACAAATACTACAATTGATAGTTGGTTATATTTTGAAAAATTTAATGGTGATGATGGTGAAGAATATATAAAATTAAAAGAAGCTAAAGTAGATTTAGCACCAAAAAAAATCGAAGTAATTGTACATAATGATCCAAAGGATATTAATCCAGAAATATCGAAATTATTAGAAACATCTATAAATGAAAATGCTTTTGCATTATGGGAAGAATTTGAACCAGTTTTTAATAAAAATTTAGCAAAAGTATTTATTTCATATGTTAATAAATTTATTAGTCAAGTTCCACTTAAAGATTTATTTTTAAATTAAAAATTAGCTGTGAAAAATTTAAAAAAATTAAAAAAAAAAAAAAAATATAATTTAATATGTGATAACAAAATATTTTTTAAAAAATGTTTTTTTATATACAAAAAAAATTAGTTTTTAAGATTTAATTTTGAGTTTTAGAAGAAATCTAAAAAAGTCAAAATGTTACCAAAAATACAATGAAATTAAAACAAAGAGTAAAAAACAAATGAATTGTTTTCTATTTTCCTATATGTACTGAGAATAAGAATAATATAATTACTGCAAACATACGAAATATACCCAGATATTCGCACAGACATTCAATTATCTAAGTTTTTTTAACAAGCTCCAATTCTGGTAGTACAAGTCTTTCAATGTTATTGTCATAGTAATAAAATTAATATTTATTAAGTGCGCTTATTTTACATAATTAATTGCATATTATTCAATAATTAAAATAATATAGTAGAAAATGTTGTCCAATAAATCGAGGTCAAATATAAATTAGTTGAATTAATTAACTAATTAAATTTCAAAATTTTAAATAAGCTTGTTAGAAATCTTATTCGATAAAACTTGGGCAAACAGTAAAATTTTCAATTACGGTTTTTTAATATTATAGTATTCAATAACTATTTACTGTAATTTTAATAATTTCAACTTGCAATGAAGTTTACAGAAACTAATTGACATTTTATGTGAGAAGGGTTTCGAGACTTTGTGAGCTTATATGAAAATGTTCTTGTATTATACACAATGTTGTTCATATAGAAATAAAATTATTATGTGTGATTGCACCCTTACAGTAAAATATAATTTTCTACTTATTTAAAAACTTGCGATAATAAATATCAAATTGAAGAATTACCCAAAAATTTATGTTAAGTAAAATTTTCAATTTCCGTTTCAATTAAGACTAGGCTAGAAAAATAATTATTTTCTTTTTTTAATTCGCCAGAATAACGAAGTCATTTATAAATTTTTTATTACACTAAAATTCAATTTTGAATTTATTGCACTAACTCAAAATATCTACAACAATTTAATATGAATGTCAAATTTCAAACTTACAAACCCTACAATATTATTTCCTTTAAACTGTTCATCTACATATTATAACACAAAAATAACCAGAGTAACACACACCTCAATAAAATTTACCGTTATACTGATATATTTTGCATATTATGTTCAGAATGTATGCATATGTTATGCACATATGTAAACATTCTACAGAAATATATGTATACGCATTAATATTATTAAAAATAAAGTATACTTTTATATATTGGTCAGTAATAAAATTTCCAATTTATGAGTATAACTTGCATTCTTTATTACCTTCTTTTCATTCGTTTATTGTTACTTCGCAACATTTATATAAAAATGTTGACCACGAAAATATGGTCAACCAAACCACTTGCTGTTGTTGTTTATTATCATTGAAATTTTATATTTTTTTTTTTTACATTTTGTACCCAATTTAGGTACCATTAGTCAGTATTATTGTAAATTATTATTTCCTTTCAGGAATTGTATAAATGGTTTATGAGGTTTTTTCTTTACAATTTTTTTTTTACAATTTACAAAATTTTTCCATTTTAATTTGTACAACAATAAAATTTTCACTGTTTTCATGTTTTTCAATCACAATTTGTATATTATAAAAAAACATGACTTTAATAAGAATGTGTGTCTTTGTATTTTTAATAATATGAAATTAATGCAAAGTGTTATACAAAAATTATGCACAATTTTTTAATTAATTGTGTACAAATACAACATTCTGTTGGAATTAACAGGAACAACACCTTATATCATGATTATTATTTGACTTCTCTAAATAAATTAAGGATGAAGTTTGTATACGATCTAAAATTATTTAATATTTGTTTTAGTACCTCAAAAACTAAGTTTCATTTCTCGGGCCAGTAACAATAGTAAGCTAAAGATAGTAAATATAAAAATAGTTAGCTGGAGTATAAATTTAGAGATGGCTTAGATGTATACATAAATGCACTTGAATGGGAAGCGGGACATTTTTCTTAGTTTTTTAAGTCAAAACTCTCGTAAATATAATAGACAAGGTTAATGACGCTCACCTTCTTGTAATATATGTTTTCACATCTTTTACATGAGAAACGAGAGTCTAATTGGAAATGCCAAAATTTTGTAGGTTAGACTTTGAGTCTTTGTATAGAATGATTTTCTTACTAAATGGGGTTCATTTAAAACTACAGCGAAATAGCTCGTACGTCAAATTTCTTTAAATGGTACTCCTTCAAATATTAAACATGATCAAACAAATAACAATATAATTAGCTTCTAAGCTAAAAGTTCAGCTTTTACAAACTTGTAGACTGAGCTCAATAATTCCTAGAGTTTGGCAATTTCTATTTCTAAAATTTTTGTTTTTGATGACAAAAATTTTTTTCTTACTATATTAGAAAAACTTTTGTACAAGGCAAATTTGTTTTCATTGGAAAAAAAAATTAATAAAATTAACCAATTAAATTCGAATTAATTAAAAGCTGAACTCATGAACTTTATTAAAATTATTTGTTTATTGATAAAAAATTAGGAAGAAAATATTTTTTCTTAATCCGATTACAAAAAAAAAGGAAAAAAGAAAAAAATGTTAACCCTTTTCATTTTCTTTTTAAATCAAACAAAATTTTAGAAATTTTTGTCTTTTGTATTTATCTTTTTTTGAAATTTTAACTAGAAAAAAAAAAGATAGAAAATGGATGGGTTTGTAATTCGAATCCTTTGTCATTTGAAATTTTATTAAAAAAGAGTGCTAGAAGCAAAATTAAGAAAAAATATAATCTTGTACTATGAATTTTTGCCTTTTAACAATAATTAGAATGTTGACAAATCGCCATAAGCATTAATCGAAAAAAACAAAAATTTTTCTTTTTTGTTTCTATTGAAAATCAAATGAAAATGATGAAGAGTAAATAAATTTCTTAATAAAATATTTTATTAACTTTTAAAAGAGCCTATTTTTTTTCATATATAACTGTTATACATATAATACAGATATTGATATATTCCTCAAGCATAAAATTACCTGAAAAGTTGTGCTTTAGATTGGATATTTTCAAATATCTTAGAGTACCTAGTCAAAAACATTTTTAATACATATCTTATTCTACATTTTTAAATATCATAAAGTCATCTACGAGTGCATATACAGTGAAATCTTTCGAAGCGAGATCGCAAGGAACCGAAATTTTTTTTACTGCTTAGATAAGTTTTACGATGTAGACTGATATTGTTGAACTGAAACCAAAAAATTTTTAAATTTTTCGATTCTCACACTATGCTTTTCTAAGTGAGTAAATAAATTGTTTTTTCGATTTCGAACAAAGCTGCAGCATTTTACTTAAAAAAAATAAAAAATCAATTCCAGCGCCGTCAACTTTAAAATGTTCCGAAATGTTCGGCTTGGACAAATTTACACAGGTTCTGGCATCAACAGAAACTTTTCTGTCATCTTTTGAATTAAATCATGCTAATCTCGTGCTATAAAAAAAATTTTCACCAACAAAATCCTGGACTCGAATAAGAATTATCAACAAATAATTGTAAATTACTCTGAAGCTAATAAATTAAGAATGTTAAACAGATTTGCTGAAAATTTATTTAAGAGGAAAGTATTGAATTTTGAAAGTTTTATATTAATACATTTATACGGTATTTACTTCAATTTAGAAATCAATTACAAAACCGAATTCAATGATTTATTTCTAAGCTGAATCAATTTTAAAAACCGTTTTCTAGGAAAATATATTCAAGGGTGTGTTTATGAATGAAGAAGGAAGGAAAATAATTAAATTTTTTAAAGGAATGAAGTGAAAATTTTTTATAGTCCTGGTTGAGCAAAGCGGCCTAATCCTCACCCCCAATATTTTTGCTTTCTTAAAAATTTGTATAAAGTTTGGTCCCAAATTTAATTTTATCGGTAAAAAAGTCAAATATTTCCTATATTCGGTTTTTTTTTGCCTAAACCAAAAATTTAATTTCTCCCAGTGAAGAAATGGAATAAATCACATACATATTTAGGACATATTGTTTCTGGGCCCCTAAATTATTGTACGAAAAAAACTTTATTTTTCCTTTAAAAGATTTAAATTCAAAATTCATGATGGTTTTTCTAAAATATTTTGGTTTTGTTAATAGTCACTAAGGTTAAGAGTTACTTCTGCTCCTATACCCTACAATCTAAAATTTTTTTCACATTTTTATTCATCTTTTCCTTTTATAAAGAATAACTTTAAAAACTCAACTTTTAAAAATTTTTAGCTCAAAAAAATAATTTTATCTATACAAAATATTTTGTAATTTTCATTTTCTACCCTATTATAACGGGAATCACTAATAATATTAAAAACAAAATTATAATTTGATTAGGCACTGCATTATTATTAAGAATTATACGCCTTGTTCTTAATTTAATAATTATTAAATTAATTGTTACTTTAATTTGAACTTGTATTCTTGCTTTTTATAACTATACACAATCAAACTTTAATCAACAAAACAAAAATATTATGTGCGATAAGCAGCTAGTAATTTAAATATTAAAATTGTATATTACTTATATAAATTATTCAATTTAATTCCCTCCTATTATAATGGCATGCTAATATTTAACACATTAAAATCATATAATTACGGCGTTTGAAATTAGAAACAATTTTCAAAGGTATTTTCTATATATGAACTCTTACAATTTACATAATATAATTACACTGTCGCACCTTTGATATTTCAAAATAAATTTATGTAATAAGGAAGGATATGAAAATGTAACGGATGTAGACAACATTATCCTCTAATTACAAAATTATTTATTGTGGAAAATAAGTAGAAAAAAATTTTTTTTTTTTTAACGGAATAATTAAGCAAAGATAACGGAAGAGCGTATATATATAAAATTAGAAATGTAAATGAAAAATTATTTTTTAAATAGTTGCACTATCTTTGTTTTGTAATTAGAATACTTTGCTAAATATTGAATACTGAAACTAAAACTATTTATTCAGTATGAATCACTGGCATACATTCCC